ACTTGAAACCAAGTTGAAACTTGTTTAAAATGTTCTTGATACCATTATGTCTGAGATGATTTACATTTTTTGTAGGATGTCGACGAGATCGCCGATAAGCAGCGGAGTAAAGTGGAGAACTTGGCCAAATACGTCCATTTGCAGGAGGTAGGCACATTTCAAATTATTATTTCGGTCAGAAAATATTAACTATTTTACACCAAACCAATGATAATATATTTAAATAAGTACCATTTATGTTTCTATCAAAAAGATTTAGGGAAAAAGGTAATGTAAGTCCACTGCTGTTTATCTGAATTTGCAAGCCACAAATTGACGTTTAACTATGATTATTGCATGGCCATTTTCTTGTGAAATATTAGTGCTAGGCATTTCACACTTACCAATGACCACCCCAAAAGTACCATCTCTGAACCATATAAGCACCTCAGAATAGCCAAAGCTTTTATGGTTTGGTAGATAGCAGAATGGCGAAAGCGTCGTTTTTGGGTGTGGTCAGTTTCGGACGTTTCGTCCCGGATTGGGGTTCGGGCAGCGTTACCATGTTGACCGTCATGGTCAACTTACCCTAAAACAGTTGAGATTATCTGTCCTAAATGAAATGCATACAAACTCATATACAGGTCCTAGACTAAAGTAAACAATGTTATTTCATACAAATTTAAACAAAATTTAGCTTTATTGTGGCTTTTTAAAGGTATAAAAACCCGTGGAAACGGTGATTGCTATAATAGATTGAAAATAATTATTAAACGTACTGTGATCTCGACTACGATTGAAATTATCGTCTTATCGAAGTGAAATACTAATTCGTTGTATTATAAAATTTCAATGATATATTAATGAGAATATTGTTTGATATTTTTTATATATTTCATGTTATTTACAAAATGTACTGTAGTTTTGCACACAACATAATCAGTGCGAACACGGCAATGGCTTCGTTTCAATTTGAGCATATAGAAATGAGTATTTTATAGCGTGGCCTTTCACAGTATTTAATAAATTTATAAAACGCCTGATAATTGACATAAAATAATCAGGCGACAACAACGTCTGTGAAATAACAGACTATAAGGTCCTATTAAAAACAGCAAAGCTTTACCTACATCGATATATTATTTTAAGGCGCTAAATTCGGTAAATTTGCGTTTCTCCAACGAAATCGGTGAACGAAAGTATGCATCTTAAAGTGTTCACATCAGATTAAAATGCTCGTCTAAAAAACGCGGTATTTGTCGTATTTGACGAATCTGTCACGACAGTCACGTGATTTACCACCGCCCGTACACGGTACACCATACACCGCGACACGAAATTTAGAGCTATATGAAAGTTGCATGCCCATATATGGGCATGCAACAAAAACTATAGTTCTTTTGTGTGTTTTGCTTATACAAATGGAAATTATTGGGGACTCACGTCCTCTCCCGCCCCCCTTCCCGCTTCCAACGGCCTTCAGATAACGGATCCTGCAGTTAAAGTTCACTCATTTGGTCAGATGCTAGGGTACAAATATGTTAATTGAAAGAAAGATGCCTGTTAAGCACAATACCCAAATTTTTAACTTAGGCCATCCCATTTTTATCAGCGTATCGTGGTGTATATGTCGTAAAATGCCTGGCTGATATCTAAGAACACCACGGCAGTGACTTTGCGCTCGTCTATAACTCTGTGTAAATGGTTTGTAAATATGGCACTCCTAGGTTTTCTATCGAATGAAGTTTTTGTTGCCACTTTCATGCACCGAGAGTTTTTATTAGTGACAAGATATTTCATCACTGCATGGTGCTATGCTATGCTCTCACAGACTTTCGACAAAACCGGTAACAAAGAGATTGGTCTGTTGTTGTCTAGAATTTCTCGATCACCTCGTTATACTTGTGGAATTACCTCAGACAGTTTCCATACTTTAGATAATAGACCTTTCCCATTATAGCACTAAGCGCGCTAAGCATGACGGTAGGAGTATGCAATTTGCTTTCGAACGAAATGGCTGCCGTGTAATTTACACCCGAACTAATTTGAAAAAAAATGTCTTAAACGTGGGTGTCCAGATTGTTTTATGTATATTATAGTGACCTGTAATCGCTCTCTTAACGCTTATTTTCAATGGTCTTTAGCTGAATCAACCAAAGGTTTTCTCATCTACAGCGCTGCTCACAACAAATGCATCTCAATTATTGGAAACAATATCATCACTGCGAGACAATGTGACCTGAAATCTGCTAATCAAATGTGGTGGTGGACACCATGTCACCAAATTCAAAATAGTTTCAGCCAAACATGTCTCAGCGCACCTGAAACACCAGTCAACTGGGGTCGTCTGAAATTGTCCACGTGTGATTGCCATGACAACAATCAAGTGTGGGCATGCACAGATGACTTCGTAAGGTTGAATGGTACAATACTGAATGTGAATTACGGGAATAGTCGAGGCGGAGACCGCATTGTGCTCTTTCAAGGGACTGGATCCTGGAGTAAATGGAAGGTCTATGGAGAAGACCTGCGCGTGTGTGAAAAAGGAAAAGGTATATAGAAGACTAGAAAATACATGCATGCAGAAACCCTCGCCTTGCTGACAAAACCATTGTATTATCTAGAGTAGTTGTCATGGTAAGACGATAAGTTTTTAAAGTGCCACTGCGATGGAAAATTGTGCTGTCTTTTTATTGTATATTCAGAAAGTATGTCCGTAGATAAACAAAATTACCAAATATCAGCGTCCAATTCCATTTCCTTCTGCCTTTTTTTTCAACGCAAACATGCAAATTTTTCGGCCGCCATTACTGAGTTGTCAATTAGCGAGATGTTGATTTCTTAGCCGGATGTGACGTCATTTACTCAACACGCTTCTTTCCCGAAGGAGAAATTAATATTATCAAAGGCGTATACTAGGCTGTTTTTTGTTCAAAATTATGTCTTCTGACGAAAGCCACAGCTCAAATTTTGCAACACAATCATCTTGCGAACTCTCTTTTGCCGAAGACGTTTCTTGTGATAGCGGGGGTGATGTAAATATGGAGAAAAGTGTGGATTTGTGCGAGGCCTATGATACTTCAGTCGAAGCTCTTGCCACTGAAAAAACATAATACACGAAAAGTACTATAACTGACAGAGAGCTAGCAAGAGCAGCAAACACTGTCTACTGGATTGTCTGGGGAAACCTTAACGGGCACCTGGTACGTTTTGGATTGTATTTATTTACGTTTTGGTTTATATATTTGTGACATGAAACAAACATGTGATGGCCATGTTTAACAAAACAAATGGTCACTGGTCTCCTTATAAAAAATCATTGTCACCTCCGTTATATTGCACGAAACGTCTTCAATGAGAGATGGCTTAAAGATGACTATGTTGCCAAATTGGAAATCCTAACTCACGTAAGAAAACATTAATTTGCACAAAGTTGTGGGAAATATATTTCAATTATATATATTAATAAATATATTATAAACTTCAATAGTATACTTCAATAGTATACTTTAATATATTAATGATCCATAGATATAAATGTGGTAACTGTGTCCTGGCTTATTGTTGTTTATGTG